TGCCTCTGGGTCTTAGTTCTGGAGCTAGGTTTGCTGATCACTTAGAACTTGAGTGGAATGCCTTTTGATTGAGGCTTACAACAGAGTCTGTGCCCTTTGGACATTTATTTGCAGCTCTGAAAAAATTGTAGTATGTCCTGACTGAATCACTGAACTTGAGCATTTCTCTCATTCATTGCAACCTGTTGACAGACTTCATGAACCCTTTAATCGTGGGGGGAGGAAAGGAAAGAAAGAAAAATTTGCAAAAGTATCCCCAAGTTGAACTGAAGGTAAACAAAAAAGGTCTGTTTGCATTTTCCAGCACTTTCTAATCTTTCTAAGATTTTTGTATGTGTACAAATGGGAAATAGGAATAGGTTTGTTTAGCAATATAGCTACCTTACCAAGAAATCTATGCTGATTGCCCCTACATGGAAGTCACATCATGTAAAATTTCATCTTTTTGATCTTACTTTTGGGATTTACTTTCAGGTTTGGTTCCATATTCTAAGTGATATCCTCAGCCACAAACTAAAAAGAAAAACAATGCTCTGAATTATGCCAGTGTAGGAGAGCGTGCAAGTAGTAGTGATCAAAGCATACATACAGGTGGAGTAAAGAAGAGAAATGCTTGTTCTACAGTAGTTTTTTGTTAGAAAGATGGGGCTTTTTATTCTTCTAAAGATATCTCAGAAACCCCAAAGGGCAGTTCTACCCTATTCGATAGGGTCAAAATAAGTCAAAATCAACTCGATGACAGTGAGCTTTAAATTATTACAGTGGTTTCACTTGACTCCAGTGGTAAATAGACTAAACAAGGCAGATCGTAAGTTATCACAACTTCTACTTTACATTTAGAAATGTGAAATTAAGTAGTTATTGACTTGCAATTCAAGAATGAAACAGAATAACTGACCATAAGCTACCTACCAATAATAGTAATGCTTAACAAGTATAAAGGGCAGCAGATAAATCAAGACGGCTCTGCTGCACACTAAAAACAAATGCAAACCTCAGGTGAATGTAATCCATAGAATATTCGGCATATTGGGAACATGGTTTAAAATGAAAAATGAACTGTACGGTGAACAATTTTATTTAAGTCTACTTTTGGCCTTTTGAAGAGGAATGGGAACATTTAA